TGATAGCTCCACAGACTTGCGCTATCAACAAGCTAGAGCTAGTTCATCTCGTGAAAAGCGCTCACGTTCAGGTATATATTTTCTTTTGTATTTCCTTTCTCTTTTGAAATATTTTCTACCTTGCTTGAAAATGCACGCTGCATTGCAATAATCCTGCACTTTTTTTGAAAAAGCGCAAATTTTGCACTTGTTTTTGATGGTTACGCAGTGGAAATTTAATGTGAATTTTGTGGAAACTTGTATTGTAGCTGCTTCTCGAATGTTTTGTACATTGCATCATTAGTCAGCAATTGTTTTTACCTTTGACTTCCACAACAAAGAACCTAATTGTTAAAAAATAGTGTATATTGTTTATTCTTTAAGAAACAACACGAAGCCGTTACGGAAAACGGTACAGAAACAACTGCGGAGGAAGTTATCACAGAAACCCCAGCTAAGAAGGAGAAGGTCGAATAATGGCATTACCACTAGATGTGCCTCTGGTAAGAGATTGATTATACTAGCTATTGTTCCATATTAAACGTGAATTTCAGGAAAACAATGATCTTGTTTTCACGGAGAGGAAGTTTTTATCGTTTACGGAATCGAACCAGATTTTTGTAGTACAGAAGAATGCAAGCACTGATAGCGGTAACATAGTCTCTGCAATTTTTTACCTGGGAAACCTTTTTGCCAAAAAATTACTCGTTCAGATGTTCCTGGAACCGTACAAACTTGTTTAATCAGTGCATATGGTCGCCTCTAATTCGTTGAAGAAAACAAGGTTGTTTGCTTATCTAAACTTCTAGATGAGGTACATATGCTTTTTTACATCTCGTTTTCTGATACATACAAGGCTGATTCTCTGATTCTAGTCTTTGAAAAGTATACACTCCATAGGATTGTTATGTGGCCATATCTCTCCTTTGGAAGATGAAGGATCTCCTGCTGTGTTAGCGACATGGTTAGTTGGTATGCGCCTTGAATGAGAAGAAGCGTTTATTTTTTATAGCTGGGTAGAATTGAATGAGCATTTTTGTCCATGTCGAAACTTTGGGGCTGTGTTTCGAATGTCGTCTACATTCCATGTTGAACTGACAAGCAAGGTAAGTTACATATATTGGGGAATAGGGCCCGTTTTGATCCATTTTTTTCACCCAAACTTATTTAGGTAGAGGCATCAGCACCAATTGCTCATTGTTCCATAATAGAAAGAGCAACAGATTCTATCCAACAAAAGTACTGGGTTGTGTATGAAGATGGAGAGACTTTGGCAGTGTATAGAATTGGGGTGAGGCTTATAGTTCATGTGATTTCACGAGAAACTTGTTTATTCCTTACATTTCATACATATGGGGTGTACCTTTATTTTTATTTGTAAACAATTCTTCATTTGTGGAAGAATTTACTCGTTTCGATACGTTTTCCATTTTTTATTTCTTTTTTGCTGCGCTTGCACACGTGCATTTCACAGTAATGTCTGAGATCCATTATCAACTTTTCTCCGTTGCTGCTTAGAATATCTTTAAAAAATTTTCGAGATTTCAGCAGAGTAGCTGCAAGGCGGAAAAAGTTGAGCACACTGAGTACTCCCTCTGACGAGGCTGATGCTAGCGAAACCTCCAAAACCTACGAGGAACGCTATGTGGCTATTTCCTCTACACTCCGACCTGTAGCAGTGCGGAAATGCAATTTTGAGGTTCGCTTATGCTGAGGTATGGCTAGTATCAGCATGAAATTTTGATTAAGGGTGATTTTCTCTGCTGGAATCATGAATTTGTTTTGAAACAGTCCGAACAGTACGATTCTATTACTTCTGCTTGTATGGTCAAAGAATCGCAGCA